GTAAGTTATGTGATACGGTAACAACAATAAGAGAGAGAGAGAGAGAGAGAGAGAGAGAGAGAGAGAGAGAGAGAGAGAGAGAGAGAGAGAGAGAGTTGCAATGCAATATGAACAACAAATACACAAAGAACCTTACATTTCAACACGGTTGGGAAGTGGGTGCCACTTACGCCAGAATACGGCTACAACGTCTTCGTATATGGCTCCCACTTCCCCACCAGATCGTCGCAAGTGTAAGTTATGTGATACGGTAACAACAGTAACAGAGAGAGAGAGAGAGGGACACCGGATTGCATCACGGAATGCTCGAGGCCAGCAAGAGGGCCAACAACACGAGGAACGACATGATGATGATGATGATGAGGAGGAGGATGAGGAGCACGATGAGCTGCAACAACGACAGGAGCTGCAACAGCAGGAGCAGCAGCAGCGGGAGCGGCAACAGCGGGAGCGGCAGCAGCAGCAGGAGCAGCAGCAGCACGAGCAGTTGCAACGGGAGCGGCAGCAGTAGGAGCAGCAGCAGCACGAGCAGCGGGAGCGGCAACAGCAGCAGCACGAGCAGCGGGAGCGGCAACAGCAGCAGCACAAGCAGTTGCACGAGGAGCAACAGGAGGAGCAGCAACACGAGCAGCAGCATAAGGAGCAGCAGCACGAGGAGCAGCGGCAGGGGGACCAGCAGCAGGGGGAGCAGCAGCAGCAGGGGGAGCAGCAGCACGAGCAGCAGCAGCACAGGGAGCAGCAGCACGAGAACCTGCAGCAGGGTGAGCATGAGGATGCCGAGTGGCAGCAGCAGGACGAGGAGGAGCAGCAGCAGCAGCAGCAGCAACAGCAGGACGAGGAGCAGCAGCAGCGGCAACAAGACCAGCAGCAGCAGTAGCAGCAGCGGCAGCAGGACCAGCAGCAGCAAGAGCAGCAAGAGCAGCAGCAGCAGCATCCGCGTGCATTCTACGGTCCAAGAAGACCCTCACAGCTGCTTGGTCGTCTGGGGGCCACCTCTGGTTCCACCTGGGATCCTCTCAGTTATCGACCTCCACGGGGTGGGAGAGGTGGACGAGGAGGTGCATCGACTGCAAGAGGGAGAGGAGACATGGCTCCTAAAAGAGGCAGAGGGCGTCCTCCTTTAGGATCCTCGAAAGGCAAAGGACACCCGACTGCACTGGCAAAGGACCAGGCAACGGAGGAGGCACCTTCCAAACGAGGCGAAGGGCCTCCTGCTTCGGGATCCTCGAGAGGCAGGGGCCGACCGCGCTCTACCCCCACACAGGCAGACGAAAGGGTTGAGGAGGGGCAGGTAGAGGAGGAGGAGGAGGAATCGGATGAGGAGCAGCCGCTTCAAATCTAAAAAAAAACGGAGGATGGCACCGATTGATGGGGAGGGACAAGCACAGTGAGAGAGAGAGAGAGAGAGAGAGAGAGAGAGAGAGAGAGAGAGAGAGGTTTGCAAATAACCTTGTCAATGTTGCTGTCGGACTCAGGTTGATAAGAGAAGACGTGTTTGGGGATCTGAATTTTGTGCATGTGTGTGTGACTTGTCATGGCTGTTGTACACCCTGTCTGCATGTTTGTCAGTCAGTCTGTCTGTTTGTCACCCAGTCACCCTGTCACGTCTGTATGTCTGTCAAGTCTGCTGTTGGACAGTCTATCTGTCTGCCTGTCTGTTCGTTCGTTTGTCAGTATGTATGCCAAACTTGCAAACAAACTTGCAAACAGGCACACAAACACGGTCACAAGTCACATAGACAGTTCAACGTTTGTCTGTCTTCCACGGACGCCAAACTGTCTGTGTGACTTGTCACCGTGTTTGTGTGCCTGTTTGCATGTCTGTCTGTCTGTCTGTCACTCTGTGCCACGTCAATCTCTGTGCAAGTATGTCAAGTCTGTCTGTCAGTCACTTTGCTGCTTTCTAGTTGGTCCGTGGCCACATCGTGATGTGTCGTCCTCTGCTGCTTTCTGGTTGGCTCGTGGCCACATTGTGATGTGTTGGCCTCACAAGGCATGTGGCCAGGGCACAACCACCCGGGCCCTGGGCTCAAATGCCCGGTGCAGTTGCTTCTTTTGGAAAAGCCCAGGGTAGGGTTGTGGTTGTACTTCAACCAACTGTCGTGCAACAAATGTCTGAGATGTTTTATGTGCCCGAGCCCCATCTGCATCGGGCCTGGGCGGCATGCATCGGCCCCATACTGCTCGGGCCTGGGCGGGCGGCATGCATCGGCCCCATCCTGATCGGGCCTCAAGGATACTGGGCTTGCTGGGGGCCACACTCAGATCGGGCCTGGGCGGCATGCATCGGCCCCATCTGCATCGGCCCCATACTGCTCGGGCCCCATCTGCATCGGGCCTGGGCACAAATACTGGGCTTGCTGGGGGCCACACTCAGAAGACTCAGAAGCTTGCCCGGGGCCACAGTCAGAAGACTCAGACTTCTGACTGTGGCTCCCAGCAAGCCTCTGAGCCAGAACATATGCATGTTGTCCAGGGTCCCCTGAGAACACATTCCTCACATTTGTTCTACCTTAGTAGTTGACTCAAGTAGTATACTTAAAAAAAAAAAAAAAAAAAAAAAAAAAAAAAAAAAAAAAAAAAAAAACGCGTACGCGTATGCTGGTTTTCGGACACGTACGCGTATGCACTGCATACGCGTACGTGGTGCTACCCAGATATATACATATATACACATATATATATACAGGGTACCCGGCGTTCGGGACGGGCCGAACGCGGACCAAAAAAAAAACAACAAGTCATCAAAAAAATATGAAAAAAACTATGTTATAAAAAAAAAAAAATTAAACAAGATTTGCCTGAGCATTACATCAAATTCCTCACCAAATTTGAAATAAAAATAAAATACGAAAAACATATACTAATAATAAAAATAAAAATAATTAAATTTAGTGAGTGCGAGAGCATGTTTTTGACACCGCCATCTTTGGAGATTTTTCTTTTTTTTTTTGGCATAACTAAATGCCCTGAAAATTTACAGATGTGTACTTCACATAATACCAAACCCACTAAAAAATTCTCAAAAAATATTAAAATTGTTTAGACCCCGAACTAAAGTAAAAACAAAAATAAGAAAGTAAAAAAATACATAGGCGAGCACGTTTTGACACCGCCATCTTTGGCGATTTTCAAATTATTATTGGGCTTAGCCAAATGACTTGAAAATTTACAAGCATGTACCTCACGTCATTGAGAACTCACAAAAAAAAAATTAGAAAAAAATTATTATTTTTAGGCCCCGAAATAATTTTTGGCGGGGCCGAACTCCGTCGGGTTCGGACGCCGTACGGGACCCCGAACGCCCATACGTACGGAGGTCTGCTCGGGGACCTCCGTACGTACGGGCTGGTGACCCTGTATATATATATATATATAATATATATATATTATATATATATATTATATATATATATATATTATATATATATATATTATATATATATTATATATATATATATATCGTCAAATAGATATATATATATGTGTGTGTGTGTGTGTGTGTGTGTGTGTGTGTGTGTGTGTGTGTGTACCTATACTGAGTGTTCGCGTGGCCTGAGGGACCCTCACATTAAGGGCTTAATTGGGGGGGTTGGGACTGAGAAAGGAAAGAGAACCCCTTTATTTTGTTGATTGTTTTTGAAAGAATTCTTAGTCGGATGTTGGTCCTGGGTCGGGATTCAAGGTCCTTGTCCAGGACATCCCAAGCCCTAGACTCTACATGGAAGGGACTACCCATCGGGCAGAGCCTATTTGCCTTGCCTGTCGAGACACTCAGGCCAAAGGCCGGAGGTCTCGCGGAGGCTGCACGGGTATTCCTTCAGCCGTGCAATATCGTGAGGGAACAGACCCTCACGACACTTCGAGTCTGACACGTGAGTGTCATAAGCGGTACTCGGATCCACGAGGGACCGCTTGATTATGGGCACTACAGAGTACGCCATCATTGCGACTGTTTGCGTACGATTGCATTGCTAGTCGATATGAGTAGACCTTACGACCGCGCAGTTTTATACTGAGTCTTGCGCGCAACGCCTATCTGATTTCCGCATCGGAAAGTTATGGGATAACTACTAAGGGATTAGGAGTGTTGTCTCGTTGTTTGTTTAGCGTCGTTCTATATATGTGTATGCACGTGCGTGTGTGTGTGTGCTTTTGTTTTTATGTTTTTTATAGTGGTGTGCGCGTGGCGTGTGGGATACGTCCTAGTCGACCGACGATGAGTCCCGCTTGGGACCTCAGCCCCCCAAGAAGCCAGTTCGCGCGCGGGTTCGATAGAGGCGTAATATCGCGCGTACCCCCTATGCTACAACGAACGAGAAACGCCTTTGGCTGGTCCACCTCTGCGATTGCAACTGATCAACTTTCGTACTGTGGACTGGTAGCTCGGCGGGGATACGCCCACCGAAGGGAGGTGACAACCCCCGTAAGGTGGAGGTAAGTCGCGTCTCGCGTAGGCCCTATCCTGTTATAGGAGCTCGCGAGAGGTATGGCTGACGCACTCGACTGGAGCGGCTTGCGAAAACTCCATGTGTATATTCGCGATGAAGGATTTAGACCAACTCATGCGTGACACGGCCGGGAGGGTCCCACACTGCCCCGTGCGGTGCCGAACCGATGTGCTCGACAACGGTGCAAAAACAAAAAATTTATTGAATCTGTCGACTACGACTTCACTCTCGCCACTACTACTTCTGACTTTAGTATTCATGAAACGTATAGATACCGATTCACCTGGGCCAGATGAGATAGGCAAGAGCTTCAATAGTCCAAGGGGAGGCTGTGTGAAACTTTGTTCTTTTGACACACTTGATAACTTTGGATATAGGTGATGTAATCATGCTTGATGCCAAACCATGTGTAGGATCTGAGTAGGCTATCATAGGTCTTCTGCCAACCTAAGTGACCTTTCGTATCACGATATTCCCTTAGCCTAAGGATCAGATTGCATACTTCTTCACTACGTGGTATGCAAAGGCTATCATATACATCGATTTTCTCGAACAACAGTCCATCGACCATTTTATAATCAGGAACTTAGAGAGGTGCAATCTGCACTTTCTTGATCAACGTGCAATAAATTGGATCATAAGTTGAGGCATTTTCGATCGTTTGCCGCAGATCTGCGCCAGTGTCCAGGTAAGTTACTACTGCACCAAAGAAATTTGCACCTACTCAATGCATCAACGACAATGCTGTACTTACCGTTGACTGACAAAATCAAACTGATCAATCTCGTCATCCCACTAAGTCAACGTAGGGGTCATCCGGGCCTGGGTCTTAAACAAGCGCAATGTCTTACGATCGAAATACACCTTGAAGTGTCTTCCTAACAAGTAATGTTGCGAGTGGTCTAAGGCCTGTCTAAGGGCTAATAACTCACGCTCGTAAGTCGAGGCTGCTACCTTATTACTAGGGAGCCTACAAGACAAACTTAACGCGCCTATATCCATCTCCATCGTTCTGTTGGAGGACAACACCAATGCCATACTGGCTAGCATTGGTATAGAGTCTACTATAGACAACGAATGACAAGGATGGATCAGCTACCTTGAGGACCGAGTAGTCAATGAGAGACTTCTTCAACTTTCGCTCCCAAGTCCAAACGGTCTCCTTTCCCAACAGTCTACGCAAAGGAGAACAATGAAAATAAAATTTCGAACAAACTTTTGGTAGTGGTTGGCTAATCCTAAGAATGACCGCAACTCAATCAACGTGTGGGGGTTGACCAGTCACGAATTGCTGCTATTTTGGAATTCTTCGGTCTCACTCCATCTTCATCGACCGCATGTCCCAAATACAGGACTTGACGATTGACCCACTCACACTTCGTCGAGTTAATCTTGAAGTTAGACTCACGTAACTTTGTCAATATTTGGCGTGAATGATTATCATGCTCCTCCAGAATCTTACTAAAAATCAGGATATCATCTAGATAGATTATAATGAGCTTATCTAACCAATCCTCAAATTGATTATTCATGCACCT